CAGTAATGCGGGAACCGCACAAGGGCTCATGCTTTCTTTCACAAAGCCCTTCTTTAATAGCTCATCAACTTGCCTTTTCAGCTCTGCATGCTCATTGGGGTTCATCCGATAGTGAGGCAAATTGGGAAGGGTTGCTCCCGGGACTAAATCAATTGCGTGTTGGATATCACGCATCGGGGGTAATTGGTCCGGGAGGTCTTCAGGGAAGACGTCAGAAAATTCGTCCAACACAGTAGCGACTTCTGGGGGAACCACGTTAGAAATATCCTTCGGAGCTTCTCTAGCGGCGAGGGCGAAAATAGGAGCTCCGTTGGCCAGTTCACGATCAATTTCTTTGGCTCCAATCAGGTTAACACCTTGGGAAGATTTATTTGGGTCGATCTTCTTGTCATTTCCTTTTGGTTGAACCGGAAGGATTTTGACCTTCTTCCCGTCGTGTTCGAACAATAACATGTTGGATCGCCCGAAGATGTGAACGTCGTTATCAAATAACCAGGGCCTTCCAAGAATAACTTGACCCACATCCATTTTCAAAACATCGCACCAAACTTTGTCCTTATAAATGGCAAATTGAAGAGGGACTAGGCATCTCTCTTGGACATTGAGTGCGGTGTCGTTAATCCATGATACCTTGTATGGATTAGGATGGGGTACAACCTTGAGACCAAGCTTAGCGATCACAGCTGAGGAGACCGCGTTAATGCAACTTCCACTGTCCACGATCATTTTACAATTTTTATCACCAATCTTTGTGAACGTATGAAAAATGGAAGTACGTCTCCAATCATTAACAGCCTTGGGTTGAGAGATGGCGCATCTGACAACTGATACGGTAGGAGTTTCAATTTGTCTAAGACAACTCAAGATAGTATCATCTGCGTCATCCTCGAAATCATCGGTATCATCGTCAACTTGATGGACAAACTCATCACTATCAGGTTCAGGTTCATATTCGTATTGTCCATCGATGATAGCCACCTTGTGACGGGTCGGACAGTTCGCAGAAACATGCCCATACCCTTGACATTTGTAGCACTTGACGTGAGCTCCAATCTTGGAGAAATCTCTCTCCGGTTCCTTGCCTTTGGAATCGACTTTAGACTGGGAAGAACTGGGGTTAGATAGTGGCACGGGAAGGTTGGGAAGAATGATTTCTATAATCCTGACTCCTATAAGATTGATGGGATTTTGATTCGTCTAGATCCTGGACTAACGCATAAGCTTTTTCAAGGGTGTCTACTCCCCGAGCAAAGAGTTCGGTTTGTAGATCATTTCTCAATCCAGCTCTAAACTTCGACAAGACTTTCATTGGCGCCTCTTGTTCAATAGTGTTGCATCGAGTGAACAGTTCGTCAAATTGTGCAACGTAATCTTTTGCGGATTTGGTGCCTTGAGTGAGGCGATGCCACTTATCTAACAATCGATGATAAAATGATGGCGGAAGGTATTTCTGCTTAAGTTCATTGGTCATTTCTCGCCAAGTTGTAATCGGTAACTCACCTCTAATGTGCCTCAACGTTTCGAGGTTGGTCCAATATTGGCACGCAGGTGCGGTAAGTTTCATTGCGGCGAACTTGACCTTTCGGGGTTCCGTAAGGGCGTACCAATCAAAATAACGATCCATGCTCTTCAGCCAGTCCAAGAAAGCTTGTGGGTCGAGCTTGCCGTCAAAGGTTGGGGCGTTGATCTTAATACTCCTCAGGTATTGCGCATCCGGATCAGGTACTGGTTGATGTGGGGGCCGTTGAACGATGTTTCCATAGCCTTGACCTTGCAGCGGCGGGGCGAAGTGTTCATAACCTTGACCTTGCGGTGGCGGGGTTGCAACACGAGCTTCTTCGAGCCTAGCAAACTTTTCGTTGGTTTCATTTCGGAGATTCGTTAAACCCTGGACTACGACACCTAATTGTCCTGCTAGTTCATCGAGTTTCTTATAGAGTTCGGGATCATTACTACCTGACATACTGGACTCACTAGTCGACTCACTTGACTCTCCTAAACGATAGGGTAGACCGGTACGAGTGGGCATGCACTAACAAATAAATGCGATGAAATGAGTGGGTGTACAAAATGAGATAACTTTTTTTTTTTAATAAAGACTCACAAATTTCCTAACCTAGAACCAGGTGCTCTGATACCAAAATGATGCGAAACAATGTGATGCAGGTATGAAGATTAACAACAGCAATGCTTCGCCAAATCAGCGATCGATCTAGGCAGGGAGCTCAAGAATAAAGTGTAGCTTTCGATGGGTTTTAAGCAAAAATTGCAATGTACTAAGTTCAAATCTTTTGCAAATGATCCAGAAAATAAATGTAATGATTCGTTCTCTCAATACAGTTCAAAGTGTAATATTTGGATAAGTAAAAGTACTTAGCAACAGATTCGCTCGCTCACTTAATCAAGCTAATACAGCGCAATCAATTGATAATAAAATTGAGAATAACACGTACGCAACAGTAGTTCCGAAAATACAGGGTCGAAAGAAAACAAAACCTGCGTCGGTCTGAACAGACTCGACGTGAGAGACCTTTGGAGGCGGATCGACGACGGCGAACTGGATGCGGACGTGTGTAACAAACTGAGCGACGACGATGATGTAAAGGCGGAAAACGACGATACGAACAGATCTGTCTCTGCCAGCTGGGGCTGTCCGTCGAAAGGATAGCAGGGAGGAGGAGCTGAGTTTGTGGGACTGCTCAATTAGGAGGAGAGCAGGAGGGGTTGAATGGATCTGTGGATGGGGAAAACAGATCAGGGCGGTGACTGGAGTAGGAAGGGATTCTGGGCGTTGGCTATTGGTTGCTGGCGAAAAAACAAGGAAGGGAAACAGGGGAGAGATCGGGATGGTCTGTGGTGGAGGAGGGGATGGCAGGCGACGACCGGTGGTTTGGTGGCTTGCAGCGAAGTGAGAAAGAAAGATTTGGCGGACTGTTTGACGTGGGGAGATCAGAGGAGAGTTGGCGGCTGAATAAGGGGAACAGGGGGGGCGGAGCTTGTGGATGAGGGTGACGTTAGATTGCCTGAAAGGTGGTTGCTTCTGGAGAAGGAACAGGGAATGATGGGGTTGTAAATAATTGGATTAATTGGGTCTGGAAGAAAAGGTTATGTGATGTTGAAGTAGGACGGTGGAGTTGGGGTATTGGGTGTTGACGTGAGCAGGCGCGTTTGCGGTCGGCGGAGGGAATAGGACAAGGGAGGGAAGAAGACGAAGTTGGTGGGCTGATTGGTTTAATTGTGAAGAGGAGGAGTTCTGTTGTGTGTTGCGTGGAGAAGATGAAGACTGCAGTTGTCAGCTTTGAAAAGAAACAAAGACAGAAAATACGTATTAACCTAGGGTTTCACACCATAATTAGGCTAACACGAATTTTTTTATTCATCTTCAATGCTTCTTCAATCTGATTACAAGAGAGTTAAATAAGAAAAGTACAGATTTGGAAAATCCTCTAAATCCCTCAAATCTCTCTCATAACCAAAATACAACCACTTAACTAATTAGCTGCCAAATGAAATTCGAAATTCAAAATTTTGAAATTCAAAAATTCAAAAATTCAAATTTCAAACTAATTTATTACAATTGAAATCAAAACCATAGTGCTGCAACCTGGCGTCTCCTTCGCTGATAAACTCGGCGAAAATCCCGTGTATGTGTCCGGATGTCCCCATCACATGTGCTTCGGTTGGCGTCCATCACTTACAAATATGTGAAGTGTTATTCACTAAAGGCATGTTTGGCAAGTGGAAAGTAAATGGAAAGTGGACCAAAAATTGGAAAGTGGACCCACTTTCTATTTTTCCTGTTTGGCAGGTTGGAAAGTGATTGGATATTGGGAGTTGTTGCTGTGGTATTTTAGCTCGTTTCACTTTCTCCACAATTTTAACGGAGGTGGATGGAAAGTGAACCAGTAGGGGAGGACATGGTTTGGTCTCTCCTGTGTTATACTTTGAAATGTCCAATTGATACTGGTCACTTTCCATGACAACCAAGCAATATATTAAAGAAGTGTATGTGACCTCAGTTGCCACCTTAACATCCACCTTTTGGCTTTCTAGCATCCTAACAAGATTAGCCAATAAAGAGAAAGGATAACTTACTTTCTCTTGTCATATTACATTCCATATATTTCTGATTGCAAAACATGCTTTGAGACATCCATATAGGATAAACCATGTTATCCTCTCCAAACAAGTTTATTATTTTACAGATCATTTTAGATCATTTTACTAAACCTATGTTCTTTCTACATGAGTAAGAACCATAATATAAACATATAGATGTGCCAGATATTCATATATTGAAAGAAAATGTTCATTTATGATTGTGTCTCATGTCTAGACTTTGGGGAATTGCTATGTTCAATATCTTGTATCTTTGTCGGAGTATGATAACTCGTGTCTGTTCCTAGAAATTATTGATTATTTTCAATTAATAGCATTCAAGATTAGGATACATGACTTTGTTTTAACTTGAAATTTGAAAATCAACCATCAGATTGACTGAAATATCATCTTTGATGTGAGGCCCTTTGCACTCATTACATCATCCAATCAGAAACTTCAAGGAGGCATCCTGATTTCGGAAGCTACATTCTTCTTTTGTATCATTCATAGTTTGAAATCAAGATCTATTGGAGATAAAAGATACTATGGTGCTGCTAAAACAGGGCTGTAGTCGAATGGCATGTTTTTGGTCATTGATCTTTAGATTTTTTTGGCAATATCAAGGCCGTTGCTTTAAATAATCTCAAAACCATATTCTATGACTGGATGTACTTGAGCAATTAAATGAGTCGGTCATTTTAGTTGTATGTAAAAGTTGTTTTGTAGTTTTCAATCTTCTCTCTTTCCATTACATGAAACAACACCAACGCAACATCATCATGTTTTTCCCCAGTTGATTGCAGTATCTTGGTTATGGCATCTTCTCTTTGTAATTTTTTATGCTGCTGTTTATTTCTTTTACTAACATTATTGGACTTAATCTATTGTATCTCGTGAAGGTATATTTGATACTTGATGAATTCATTCTAGCTGGGGAGCTGCAAGAAACTAGCAAGAGGGTAAGGCATATAAGTGTCGTCTATTTGTCACTTTATAATACAGAAAGTTCATTGGTTTTCACTTTATTTATGCAGTTCTCTGGTACTATATTAGGCTACATTGTCTATGATATTGAGCAATATTGTTCTCTCATTGCAAATATCTTAATGAGGCCTAAAGAACTACTTTTTTGTCCATCTTCCCAATATTAAATCATGTTTAATGACAAATGAATATGTGCATTTTAGCTCTCAATTTTCATTATAATCTAGTGCTCAACTCATATCGATATCACTTTCTCCTAGATATGGTCAGTTTCTCCTAGATATGGTTATTTTGTTGAAGCTTAGTGTGCCCTGTACTGTCGATTTTGCTCCTTATGTTCCGTAGGAAACAAATGACAAAAGATAAATCCTAGATTCAAGAATCAACTGGTCACAAAGAGTTTCTTTTGATGTAAGGATTTGATCATCTGTTATTTTAGTTGATGAAAAATTATAGATATAGCTAGTAACTATTGATTGTTGAGAATCGCTCTTTGATTTAATGGATTGTATGGTCTGCCATGTGCTATAAATGTCCAAGTTGTCCATGATAACACACCCCCATACAGCTAATACAGCAAACAGAGGTTGCAATTGGACCATTATTGTGGTTAGGGGTGGAAACGAACCAAATATTTAACGAATAGTTTGTTAATTATTCGACTAACTATTCGGTCATATTCGATCTGACACTAAACAAATAATATTTAGTATTCGAGTTCATTAAGGAATAGAATTTAACTAGGGGTATATTGCATTCGTTTGCTTATCAAATACTCGTTTAAAATTTGATCGCTTATAATTTGTATCATTACACATATGATTTTATTTCTTCAACCTATTTATATTTTCTACTTAAGTTCTATATACTCTAGAGAAACTTAAATAATCTTAAATCAGTTCTCTAATGAAATATTTGAATTAAACATATATACATCATAACTATAAAGAAATAATTTTCATTTATAATTTTAAATACTATTTAAATTTTAAATTCTTTAGCACAATGAATATACTTTGACATTCGATAAATATTCGTAAATATTCATGAATATTTATCAAATATTGAGTATTCGAGTTCGAATTCGAAAAATTACAGACATGGATATTTTGAATTCGAATCCGAATTCAAACAAATGCAAATATGAACATCTTAGTCTTCAGTTTGATTTGTTCATTTCCCACCCCTAATTGTGGTCACTGAAGAAGCATAGACATGGACACCCAATTATCAGGTATGCTACATGCATGGCATGTCTGATACAGCACCATGTCACTAGATAAGTGACCGTGCTTCATAACCTGCAAGTAGTCTTCCCTCTATTTTAAGCTTAAGTAGAAATCAATTTATCAGTCTTGGTTACTGCTATAAATTGACTCTTTAGCTCAGAGCATTAGCATTAGATCTCTCCTACCTTTTATTGATAAAGGATTAATTTAGAGACTATTTATGGTCCTTCACAAGTTTGGACAATTTCGGGTTATGCGCGAAAACGAATACCTCAGAACCTTAATTTTTATTTTTATTGTTAAACTATTCATAGGTAATTGGGTTTGGAACCCACTATTGGATTCCCATATTTTTCATGCTAGTCTATGTAGTTCTTTGAGTAATAGTAATATACCTGGGGCCTGACATTAGTAATCAGCAGTGATTTACAAGAAGGTTGCTAAAAAGTATTGCCCATTTAACTGATGATGTGTGATTTACTTTTTGAAACTTTTCAGGCTATCATTGAGAGAATGGGGGAATTGGAAAAGCAAGAATGAGAACATGATCATATAGTTTCAAGGGCTGAATTATGACATGCTTGAGTTATATGTTAGTATCACATGTAACTCCAGGGTATTTCACCCTTAGAAAGGTCTTTCAAGAGAGAACTTAATAGGTCTACATTCATTATTCGGTCGGTTAATTTGTGGAATTTATCAAACGTTTCTGCAGACTTGGGGGTTATATTGCTCAAACATACATAAACATCTTGTATTTATCTTTTTCATAAGATCTGTATTATATATTCATTATCTCACAATTGCTGAGAAGTTGTTTAGTTGAGGTTTGGAGCTGCAAAACTTGCTGGCCACAATTTGTATTTCCAGCTGACGGCAGTTATTGAAATTCATCTGATTGCGCTTTTGAATTTATTTTATTTTTTACTCTTTTAACCCAGAAAAAAAGAAATTTGCTCTTTGGCAAATAAATTTCAAAAATAGGACTGGAGGGGTAGTAGTTTGGTAAGGACAATACTACAAGGGATCTATCTGCAATTAACCTTATTTTATAATACAGCCCCTACACTGGGGATGATTGTGTGCTGAAAGCTAAACCTTGCTGCGAAAACGAAGCTTTTGCAAGTGATATATTATATGATGAATATGAGATTGAAGCAGCGGGATGGCTGTTGTTGTCAGGTGTATGGATGATATTGCAGTTAAAGTTTATGGTTCACGTTTGCAGCAAGAAATCCTTCTTTTCTATGGACGAGCTTCTAGATTCCCTTGCAGAAGTTGCCAGTTATAATTAAGAGCTTCCTTGCTGAAAGATGTTGATCTGCAGTTACCTTTGGAGTTTGACACGAAGGTGGGTACAGTTTAAACTCACGTACCCAAGGAGACAAACGTTGATCCGCAGTTTATACCCATGCATCAAGGAGCGTAGGGGGGTTAGTCACCTAGAACTTTTTAAGTAGAACTGAGATAATTGGTAAAGTGAGATAATTTTTTAACACTGGGATAATTTAGTGGAACAATGATGGGTAATTCTTAAAATGTGATAATTTGGTAGGATAATTTGGTGGGATAATGATGGATAATATTATGAAGTTGCATAATTTGGTAGGATAATTTGGTGGGGGTAATGGTGGGTATAAATTACTATTGTTAATAATTGTATATTAAAAATAATATAATATTGATAAGCAAATTCTAGTAATAACTATAAAATATAATGCAATAAAGCATCACTATTCATCTCAAATAATAAAATAATTTACAAATAAATAAAAATCTAAATCCCTAGAGTGACTCGACTTCCATCATCCCACATGGCTTCTATCATCCCACATGACATCCGTCATAGAATTTCTCCAAGCTCCTACAGCTGCTCGTTGAGTATGTATCTCGTCTTCTTTATCGGAGTCATCGTCTGCATCAGCAACATTTCGTGGAGCTTCTAGTGGAGGATCATAAATGTCGAAGTTCAAATCTCATAACATCATAAAGAAAGAAAAATAAGCATTTTTCAGCCATTAACCCTTTGGACCAATCTCATCATGATCGCTGAAACCAAATCAGCAAATAAATGAAATGTACACAGGAATCATCCATGGCCGCTAAACAGATGATCGACAGATGAATTATAAATATCCCAATCAATTTACTGAGCCGATTTAATAATAATAGATATCACCATTAACCATTCAACATCTAATCATCAATGTGATCGCAAAGTTGCTTTCTAACTTATAAAAAAAACATAAATAGCCCGCATATCTTTAGCACTAACCCACCAACACTATATTCTTAACCTAAACCACTGTTGTGGAGAGAAAACTTAGATCAAACAAATAATAATAAAGTAATTTAACGTCAAAAAGCTATCAATAAAGTAATACATCTTGAAGATAATAATAAAAGATCTAATCATCACAAAAACAAAGTAAAGACAGAAAAAATGAACGGATGATTGACTTCATGGCAGAGAAATTTTCTAGGCGGAGAAACTAACCAAGAGGGAGGGAGGTGATGTTTCACTTTTTTTCCCCAATTGTATTCTTTCCAATGTGTGGGATAATTTGAGAGAGAAGAACTTATGGTTATATATATAGGTAGTATAATTTGTGGGATAATTATAACCAATTATCCCAATTCTAATTCTAGTAGAATTCTACTTGACTAACGCACCAAAAAAATAATACAGTTCTAGTTCTACAAAAGTTCTACTTGACTAACACTATAAAAAAATATCTCATTTTCTAGTTCTATGTGACTAACACCTTAAAAATTTATCCCATAAATTATCCCAGTTCTAATTTTAAGTTCTAGATGACTAACCCCCCGTAGGCATTTGGAATTTGATAAGGATGAGCGTACAATTTAAGCTCGTGTACCCAAGGAGACAGATGGCGATCTGCGTTTTGTACTCCAGTAAAGAAGGAACATCCAGTAAAGAACAAGGGCATTCAAAGAGCAGAAACCATTATCCGTTACTAAACACTATTATAAACAAAGTCTCTACAAAGTAGCATGTAACCATATTAATTTGTATATAATAATTAGATAGGATCATGAGTGGCATGAAGATCCTCTCGTGTTCCACCTACAATGTACAAAAGGAAACAAAAGGATAGCCGGTCTTTCAAGATAACATCTCAATAGCAAACGTGAGCCTGCATAAGAAGAAGCAGATTTTGGTGCTCATAGGCGCTATCAGCTTGTTCTTGTCCCGTTTGGATGAAGATCGACGTGTTCTATAACTTGCCTGAATTCTTGAAACAGGAAGGAGCGGGCACATTACGAGAACTCAGGCTTGCAGTTCTCAGGAGCCTGCGGAATTCGGCTAAACTTATCCTTCCATCCTTGTCGATGTCAGCCTCCTCTAATAAGGGGTCAATTGAACCCTTCATTCCTGTGTACTGCAGATAATCACACCGTTAGGTCACATGCATCTAAATGACCGAAATGCCCCTAATAGAAAAACCCCTTTCATATTCTTTATTTTAATTAAATTAAATTAAAAGCTAACTTTCACAAAACCTCTCTAATTTGGTCTAATTAAGGGATTTAATTAATGATTAATTTCGCTTAATTTACCGAGTCGAGTGTTTAAAAGGGTGTCTTTTACCTTTTNAACTCTAGATGGGTTATCTTATAGCCGGCTAAACTTAGAGGGATTTCGTGAAACTGCTAGATTATGGTTAGATTTGGATCAAATACAAGCCTCCAGAACGTTTAGATGTATGTATGTATTATGGAGATGAAAGCTTAACATTGTCATGGACTAAACAGAAACAAGAAGGTAAATGCAAATGAAGTTACCATCCGTAGTTCCTCAGGTGTGATATACCCATCTTTGTCCACATCAAACTTCTCAAAGGCAGCTTTAGAACGGAGTTTCCACTTTTCAGAGTCGTGCTCCTCCAGCTGATGCACATGTAGCTGCCACAAATTCAGAAAAATCCACCTGCCCATCTGTGTTGGTGTCTATCTGCTCCATATGCATCGTGTCAAGAATTCAAAAGGAAAGAGCAAAACAGATACACGGTTAGGATTCCACCACCGGAGAAGAGAAATCCTTATTAAAAAAAACATGCGCTTATAAGGATTCTTAACTAGAACAAAACAGATGCACAGTTAGGATTCCACCACCGGAGAAGAGAAAACCTTATTAAAAAAAACATGCGCTTATAAGGATTCTTAACTAGATTAATGAGGATCCGCATTTAAAACAAAAAAAGTACTATAGATCCTCTAAGAAACTATCACAGAGAAATTTATAGATCCAAAAACAAAAAATTAAGTCTGATATAACTAATTTACTAGACCTCATCAAACACCTTGTTTTGAGGTTCAAGATTTCTGTTTCGTTACATGTGCATTTGCATGTATCAGCATTCTAGCTGTCCTATAATGGTCAATATAAACCATTTTACCCACTGCTTTCTCAGAAGACAATTGCGGCTTTGTTAGACATGACTACAGAATCCACCATGCTGGGATAAAAATAATGACTCTATAATAAGAATGATTAGAATCAGTGAAAAGATATATCTACCATGATGTACTATCCCCCGGTAACTTTGCTAGGAGGTTGTCTTTGATGATGAACAGTACACATATTAGACTTCCTAGTTGTGTTGATACCTCGAGCCATCTTCTTGGACATTATCCTGTCCGAATGGATATACCCGTATGAAGGATGTCACATTGATATTGTAGAACTTTTGAGAGAAGACATAAAAATTTCCTTCATCAGGTAATTCAGCACCATGAAATGATCTCTTATCAGAACAAGGAGATGTACCATATATAGTTGATAACTTTTACAGAATAGTAAAGAATGTGAAAACCCTAATTCATTATGAGATCTCTTGGGGCTTTATATAGGCCTCTTACACAACTTACAAATAAGTCCTAACTAATACTAATATGTCAACACTCCTCCTCAAGATGGGCGAAAGATATCTACTAAGCCCATCTTGTCACATCCTCTAATCATATCTACTGAGCTAAGTCCTTTAGTCAGACAATCTGCTGCCTGGTCCTTAGTCGAAACATGGCTTAGCTCCAGTAGTCCACTATCCAACTTCTCTTTGATGAAGAACCTATCGATCTTAGTCGAAACATGGCTTAGCTCCAGTAGTCCACTATCCAACTTCTCTTTGATGAAGAACCTATCGATTTCGATGTGTTTGGTTCTATCATGCTGCACTGGGTTGTTGGCAATACTTATGGCTGACTTGTTGTCACACCACAACTTCATCTTAGCTCCTTGATCCAGCTTCAGCTCCACCAGCATACTCTTCAACCATAGCAACTCAGCAACTCCTAAGGCCATAGCTCTATACTCTGCCTCAGCTGTCGATCTCGCCACCACCGACTGCTTCTTGCTCTTCCACGAGACTAAGTTGCCTCCTATAAAGATGCAGTATCCTGAGGTGGACCTCCTGTCATTAGCACAGCTAGCCCAATCAGAGTCATAATAGCCCTCAATGCTCATGTGTTCATTCTTCCTGAAGATTAGCCCTTTTCCGGGGGCATTCTTCAAATACCTTAGAATCTGGTACACTGCGTCCATGTGACCCTTCCTTGGATCATGCATGTAGCGACTCACCACGCTCACTGCAAAAGAGATATCGGGACGTGTGTGACACAGATAGATCAACCTGCCCACTAGCCTTTGGTATCTATCGCGATCAACTGGTTCTCCAGCTTCAGCACCCAGCTTAAACTTCTGGTCGATCGGTGTAGTTGCAGGTTTGCATCCTAACATTCCTGTTTCTTTGAGAAGATCCAGTGCATACTTTCTCTGGGATAGGACGATCCCCTCCGCTCCTCGAACTATCTCTATTCCAAGAAAGTATCTAAACAAACCAAGATCTTTCACCTCGAACTCCTTACCCAGTCTCACTTTGAGTTGGGCAATCTCCTTCTCATCATCCCCTATAATAATCATACCATCCACATATACTACAAGCAAGGTGATGTGACCCCCACTTCTTCGAGAGAACACGGTATGATCGGCGCTGATCTGCTGGTATCCCATACCAATCATCGCCCTCCTGAATCTGTCAAACCAAGCACGAGGAGACTGCTTTAGCCCATAGAGAGACTTCTTCAATCTGCAGACCTTTCCCACTGTCTGATCTGTACCGAATTCTGGTGGTATCTCCATGTATACTTCCTCCACTAGATCTCCATGAAGGAATGCGTTCTTCACATCTAGTTGGTGTAGCTTCCATCCACCATTTACTGCCAGAGAGATTAAGGTCCGAACAGTGCTCATATTTGCCACCGGTGCAAAAGTCTCATCGTAGTTGATGCCATATGTCTGACTATATCATTTTGCCACCAAACGTGCTTTGTAGCGTTCAACCTGTCCATCTGGATTCTGCTTCACAGTGAAGACCCACTTGCATCCAACTCCCAAGTGCGGTTCTTCTCAAGGGCCCTTAGCTCTTCGTGCATAGCAGCTTTCCATTTCTGGTCCTTCTTTGCAACCTGCCAATTGTTAGGTATAGTAACAGAGTCCAGTGATGCAATGAATGCTCCATATACAGGGTGGATGTTAGAATATGATACGAACTAAGCAAGATCCCAACCATATCTATCGGGAGGATTTCCCGCATTACTGCGAGTAGTCCTCCGTACAGTTATTGGTGTGGGATGAGTAGGAAGAGGAATGGAATCACCTTGAGAGGAATCTGGTGGTGGTGTAGGTGTCTCAGGAGTCGGGGCAGGCGTTGGCAAGAGACTTGGCACCAGTGGCACTGTAGGTACTGTTCCCGCAATTTGTTTCCCCTTCCTACTAATAGTAAGTAGTTCCTCCTGAGCCGTTGGTCTAACACCTCTTGTCTCATTCTCCTCTTCTTCTTCATTCTCTTGCTCCTCCTCAACCAAATCTCTTTCCCAAGGAATCGTTACAGATATTGATTTTTCTGATCTCTCACCATTCTCAGACATTGATTTCTCCATATTTACCAATCTCTCACCATTCTCCTCCTCTCGCCTCATACTTTCAGTATTAGGCGAGTTACCAACGGATGAAGTTACCTTTCGGGTGTAATATAGCTCGAGTTCTCGAAAGTGCACATCCATGCTCACAAACAACCTTTTTTCCACCGGGCTCCAGCAAACATATCCCTTCTGAGTAGCAGAATATCCCACAAAGATACACTTCACAGCTCTAGGTGCAAGCTTCCCGACAGATGGCCTGTTGTCCTTCACAAAGCACACACAGCCAAACACTTTGAGTGGAAGGATCCCACCATTATCTCCCTTCAATATCTCACACGGAGACTTCCAATCCAACACTCTCGAGGGCATTCTGTTGATCAATGCTGCTGCGGTCAATACTGCTTGCCCCCATAATGTTTCTGGAACATTCATAGAGATCATCATGCTTCTAGCAACCTCTAAAAGACGTCTGTTCTTCCTTTTCGCTACCCCATTCTGAGCTGGTGTGTATGGACAGGTCGTCTGGTGATGTATTCCTTGAGCTGACAAATATTCTTCAAAGGCTTTGTTGGTATACTCTGTCCCATTATCTGACCTCAATACTTTCACCACTGCTCCGTATTGAGTCTGAACAGTCCTATGAAAATTTTGGAAGCACCCAAACACATCACTCTTATTCTTCATCAGGTATAACCAAGTAACACGAGAGAAGCAATCAATAAATGTAACAAAATACTTGTATCCATTCATAGAACTTGTGGAACAAGGCCCCCAAACATCTGAATGTACCAAGTCAAATGCATGAGAACTTCTATGACTAGAACTAACATAAGAGCTTCTAGTAAGCTTTCCAAACTCACATGCATCACACACAAGTTTCTGTTTATTTGCTTTCTCAAATAAAGAAGGATACAATCTACCTAAAACACTAAAGGATGAGTGTCCCAAACGCTGGTGATGAAGCATTAATTCATTTTCAGCACTCATTTTATATCCTACTCCTGCTTCCTCTATGACTGACACCAATGCTGAATCCAGCCCTTCACGATCCAGATACCACAGTCCACTACGCCATGTGCCAGTCCCAAGTCTCCGCCCTGTCCCCTTCTCCTGGAAAATCACATTGGGAATATCAAAAGAAACAATGCATTTTTGTTGGAGGATGATAGAACTAATGAACAAAAAATTGACTGGAAAGGAAGGAGCATGCAAAACATTGGACAAATTTACAGAACCAGTACAATCGACTGTACCCTTACCAACCACCGGCTGAAACGTACCATCAGCTGTTTGAATACTATCAGGCGATGCTAAGTGAGTATATGATGAGAACTCACTAGCATTACCTGTCACATGACGAGACGCACCAGAGTCGACTATCCACTCTGATGATCTGTCGGGAGACATAGAAGCTAGAGCATGTATGTCATCAGTACCTTTGGTCGGATGAGCATAGGTAGCAGTGTTGCCTCTGGCGAAGAACGAAGTAGATGCCTCCGCAGTCCCATTCCTCAAATCTCCATCCCCTGCTACTTGCTGTTTTTTCCTGAGTATCGTGAGGAGAGCACGATCCTCCTCTGTAAAGACCACCTCAGCTTCTTCTTCTTCTGCTACTGTCAGATTCACCCGATTTCCTGTTCCTCTTCCACCTCGTCGACCCCCACGACCACGATCACGACCTCCGAACTGTCCACGTCCACCCGAATCTCCTTCTCTGGATGGCTTGGTGCAAGCATGCCTTAGATGACCCACCGCACCGCAGTTGTAACACTGTCGGGTCTCTCCCCTAGATCCAGTGTTGCTAGAGGCTGCCAGTGCTGACTTCACCACAGGAAGTCCACCTGTCCCCGTCTGCAGCCGAATGCGAGTCTCCTCCTGGATCATAGCAGAGACAGCCTCCTCAAGTGTGGGAATCTTTGGCTGAGCTAGCAGCAATGCGATACGCTGAGCGAACTCTGACGTCAATCCTTTAAGAAACACCATAGTCCTCTCTTGTAGAAAGGCCTCCCGCTCTTTACATCCCGGGTCTTTGCAGCTAGCCCGGGGAGATAAATGATCATAATCCAGCCACAGGCGCTCCAGCTCTGTAGCATATTACAGTCCTCTCTCCCTGGACTGTGGTGTCGATCTCTCCTTTAATCTGGAATACCCTCAGGTTATTCCCCACTCCATCATATGTCCTCCTCAACTTTTTCCAGACGTCCTTCACCCTCTCAATGCCATCCACCGTGGCGGCGATCGTCGGGACCAACGAGTTGAGAAGCCAGATGTACACCAACATATGAGTGAACTTCCACTCATCTCTTCCCTCCGAGTCCTCCTCCGGTTCTGTCACCTCTCCTGTCAAGTAACCCTCCAGGTTCCTCCCTGCAAGGGTGTATCTCACCCGCCGCGACCAGCTCAGGTACGTACTCGGTCCATCAAGCTTCAGATCGATGGTCGGAAGCTCCAATTTCTTCGATGGTTTTGTCGCGCTCTCACCAGCCGACAACTTCATTAACTTCATCAAAGTTGACACCTCCGCAGGGTTCAACTTCTTGATGATCTCCTCCATCGAACAGGTTTCAGACCCAACACCTGGTCACCTTCTCTTCCGACCCTTGTTGTGTGCAGTGAAAATTTCGGCAGCACCTCTGCTACACAACAAGAATAGGATCTCAAACAAATTCTCGTTTCTCAGAGGAAACAAGAACCAAAAATAGTTATATATCTCATCGATGTGAGATATATACTCTTCCTGTCATCAGTTCGAGGACTGAGTCGAGGGAACCCATGCCAAACTCTAGGTCCGGCATAGCGCAGCAGGGGGGGGTCGCGCTCGACGACGTCCTGCAGCGGCTAGAGACAGGGTTGGACGGGGGTGGCAGCGCTAGAGGGCCGTGGGCCGGCAGGGGTTGCGTCTCGCGTCAGGTGGGGAAAGGTAGGACATGGGCTATTTGGGCGAATGGTTTTTCTGTGTAGTCTCGGACAGGAGGGCAGATCAGAGGGCGTTTTCGCCGGCAGATGGGGTGCTTTCGCTGCTGTGCGTCCACCTGGGGTGCATTCGGACAGGAGATCACGGGCTGTTTTGGCCGCGTGGCGGTTTCGTCGGATGCGTCACGGGTTTTTCGTGGGAGGGATCCTTCCGGTTTGCTCGCGACAGAGGAGATCAAGCGGGTCGCGTTTATGAGATCATGGGGATGAGGTCGGGGATCTGGATGGCATCGCGAAAGGGCCTGTTTTGGGGTCGGGGCACGCCGGGCGGTCAGGGACAGAATGGGGTCAGGGCTTCTTGGACAGCGGCTGCTTTGGGACTACAATCCGGACAGACAAGTGGGAGGGCAGTGTCTCGAGGGTCAGGTCGCTTCTGCCGCATGGGTGGTAGTTGGGGGCTGGACCTGAGCGGAGAAGAGGGTGGGGGGGCAGCGGCTGGAGGAGGGGGGGGCGGCGGCTAGGGTTTTGGTGGCTCTGATACCATAAAGAATGTGAAAACCCTAATTCATTATGAGATCTCTTGGGGCTTTATATAGGCCCCTTACACAACTTACAAATAAGTCCTAACTAATACTAATATGTCAACAAATAGTCTAGCAATTAATAGTATGCAAAAAAAAGGATCGTCTCATATGCTGTTGGATATGGAACAGGCCAGTGGGATAATCTTAACCGTCACAGTATTCCATGATGGTTGTGATTCAACTCAAATACGACATCATAATCCATTGTACCATTCTATCTAACACTTGGAAGAATCACAACTGTCCACATAAATAGTGGACACTTATAATGATCGTTTGAACCGTCTACTAACTAGGGTACAAGTACCTTGGTACTTCTTTTCAGAAGCAGTACCCATACCTGACACGTACCCATACTTATATCCAAACTTCTTGGACACTTCTTGAATATATGCCTACTCAGACGTATACTCAATTATATGATGCAAGTTTTAATTTAAAACACTTCTCTTACACCTTTTTGGATGTATATGCTACACTTCACATGTATTTTTTATATATTGATCTAATGTAACTGAAAACAGTGTTGATCTTATATAAATTGTTAATTTTAATACATATAAATATATATAACATACATATACCAGGGCCGGCTCTTGGGGAGTTCAACCTGTTCGCCCGCACAGGGCCCCGAAATTTGGGGGCCCCAAATTTTTTTAATTTATATTTATATATATATAGGGAGAGCAAATATGGACCGTCTATTTCACAAACCCCTTAATCTCAACCGTCCACGTCAAAACCCCTCCTTCAAAAGAAGCAACCAATCTTCACAGAATCACAAATCAGATATGGCCGTCACTCTCTCCTCCAAAAGAGCAAATTGGAATTTATTGATCTTCACAGAATCACAAATCAGATATGGCCGTCACTCTCTCCTCCAAAAGAGCAAATTGGAATTTATTGAGAAGTGTCATGTGTTTACTTTTCGCACAGGGCCCCTAAAATCTCAGAACCGGCCCTGACATATACATAGCCGTGTCATCGTACCCTACCTCTTATGAATTTGCCATGTCCTATACCCGTACCTATACACGTACCCGTATCCATGCAACTTCAGTGAGAGAAATCCAAATCCAAAAAAATGATTTAAGGTGTTTAGTTTTAGTTTTGTCTTTGTAAATAGATTGATTGCACGGTGCATACCAGGGTATTTCTTTCCCTTGTAGCATATTCTCTTCAGTAATTCAAACAATATCCAGCAAGTCAGTCTTTCTAATAATTACACAGCACGTCTCTAGAAGTGACAGGACTGCTTACCGCTTGAAGAATCTCCAAAACACGTGGTTCCTTCAAGCTCCAACTAAAGTCTTTCTCAAGTGCCTGTAACATTGTTGTTTACTTCGGCCATGAGATGATAAGAATATTGCATTATTAACAAATATAACAGGACACAAATGAAAACAACATATGATATCTCATTCGTTACATAAATATGTAAGGAGATAATCAAAACATTCTTAGAGAACAAAGGATGTTGGTGAGGCTATATAAAAAAAGTGTTCAAAATATATTATATACTTGAATATAAGAAAACATATGTTCTTGGCAGTGCGGGGAGCTGTTATTTTGAAAGTCAGATAACTACAAAAATCAGAAGTTCACCTGCTAGAACTTAGATATTTTTTGTTCAAATAAATTAAAAAAGAGTTGCTTAAAAAATAATAATTTCTACCATATGTTCGTCAATTGTAGAACAAGAATGCTCAATAAGAAGGTATCTCTCCACGTATTATCAGTTATAGCTTAGGATCTACTATTGAGTATTTTGTATTCCAATTCAATTCGTGGATCTGCAGTCAAGTTAATCTTACATTCCCATGAAAAGTTTCCATCCAGATACAAAATGAAAGAGGGAATTCTATTCATCTTCCAACAGAAATACAATTCATTTCTATATTTTGATATCAAATTTGTTTAAAAGTAAACAATAATTCTGAAATGAGGTACTTCGATGTTTGATCAGTAAACAGTTCAAGATTAACTAGCGTGAAGAAAGAGATTAAGTTCCAAGAGTAAAATAAACGTTTTTCAGTTAAGCCACTAGATCCATCCCACTGATGACTCCATCAATTTATGGTCTGAATGTACTTGTCCTTAAATCCACTGTCAATCTAACATTGATTGTCCAGTCAACAGCCCGATGCAAAAATTACTTACTTAATAAGGGTTAGGATGGATCAGGGAAATGTCAGATAACAAATATGCCAAAAAAGCTGCTTCAACACTCAGATTTATAATTTACCATTATATGAATTGACAATAACGTACTTGTTTCATTTCTTCAAGGCTGATGGAGCCATTTTTATCAGCATCAATTGCATCAAACTGATCACGTAGATCAGCCTGTTCCTCATCATTGAGTGTACTCGCGAGCGCCTGCACATAAATGGTTTTATAACAATCTTAAAATAAGTGACATGTTTAACAGCTCTATAAAATTCCACAAAAATGTTTTTGGTTATCTACCCGAAGTGCAAATTGCTTAAAACGGCTGTACTTCACAAATTGACACATGTTTGATAGCACAGATATATCTAATGGAATTTCTGATGCTTCTCCACCTTCTCTTACCCATGGATGTGCTGCAAGAATATGCATCTGTCAGAAAGATTTCACACATCACTCACAAGGTAGCTAAAAGGTGATAAGGACTATTTTGACAAGGTTATCAAGGTTTATAAGTGCCAATAAAGAAAGTGAAAGGAAGAAAGACAAAGGAACGCATTGATATTTAATAGAAATCATAAATTTTACAACTTAAGACTTGCTAACTAGACTATTGTTAAATTGTCATTCAAATTAACCTTATCTCCATGTCAGTCCTTGAATCATTTCGGTTACCCTAAAATGCCTAATAGATTTGATGAAAGCACTGATACTCAGAATATTCCATCAAGTCTCACTAAGAGTGATGCCAGGACTTTTTTGCCCATCCATTAACCACCTGCAGGAGTTATCTTCACCATTTTCCTTTCAATGAATGAAAATTGTGGGTTAAAGAATATAGGTCTTATCTTACAAGAAAATGAGATTAAGACTTTAAATAGAGTTGGAGATGGGAAGACCATTACAGTTGATTTGATGGAGGAAAAAAATGTTCTAAACTCATTCTCAGTTAGGGTTATAGGAACATTCTCACTATCCATGTTTTAATTTACCTAGGTTTAATCTTATATGGTCTGAACAATTAATATTGAAAACTAAGATTCTTGGGACTAGCAAAAAAGTAAAGGGTAATTAAGGGACTAAAACACATAAGGCAAATTAAGAGATAAAAAGTCTGAATAAAACCTCATAGTTTGTTTAAAAAGAAATCATAATCCCTATCAACTCTTAGATGAACTCCATATTCTAAAACTCTAAAAGGATGAAAATGTGATACATACACAAAGCCTGAGCTGCAGTCAGCCTTGCACGAGGATCCTTAACCAGTAGCTTTTTAACAAAATCTTGGGCGCTCTCACTTATTATTGGCCAGGGTTTCCGACGATAATCTGGCTTATTTCTAAGAACCTGCAAGTTAACACCATAGAAAAAATTATATTAGGTCCTATCGGAACAAGAAAGATGTCAGACTGTCAGAGAGCTTATTGCGTGAATAAGCTCTCTGGATTAGTAAGCTAGAACATAGGATTCGATGAGCTAGAAAGATATATGTTTCAGGATTTGTAAGCTAATGTAAAGGTTGCATCCTATGTACATGCAATCCAAAAACATTCATCACTAATTTCTAAGACTAACTATATTCAGTAAATTAAATGAGTTTGAGCTGACATGGAGTTAATTATCTGGAGTTATTATTAATATCCATCAAATGTAAAATTACCTCCTTGAATATTCCATCTTCAGTTTTATCCCAGAAGGGTCGTCTTCCACAAAGTAATATGTAGGTTATGACGCCTATGCTCCAAACATCTGATTCGGGCCCAGAGTTGCGATTCAGTACCTCAGGAGCAACATAGTAAGCACTCCCGACAATGTCCTTGAATTTCTTCCCTGAAACATGCCACATAAGTATAACTGTTTCACACAGTAACATCCCTTGCTAGAAATAATTTCCATCTTATACTGGATTTTAAGTTTCATTGTTCTATTATGCTACAAGTTGCAGGCATTCACAACTTCTTATACTGACCAGGCTTTATAAAATCTGATAGACCAAAATCAGTAGCTTTGAGTGGTGAATCCTCTTTTGTTGACTTAAAAAGAAAGTTCTGCAAAAATGTGTATTATGTTAATATGGATCAAAGAACTTCCAGCTTTTTCTCAGACAACTATAAAAAAGATTGGTGTTTGGCTAATCTACCTCTGGCTTCATGTCTCGATGTACCAAACCATGCAAGTGACACTCAGCTGCCACTTTAAGCATTTGACGGACTACTATTGCAGCATCCTTTTCAGTATAACGGCTATCTTTCCTGAAATGATAAAAGCACCTCAGAAACTTACCCATCTTATCCATTTTTGATAAATTATGGCAGACGAGCATTGATGATCTTCAAGCAAGAACTAAATGTGAATCCCACAATAAATGACACTCAAATCCTCGAGGAAAATAAGTTTGCTCTTTACAAGATGAAAAGAAAGGAAAAATTTATAAAGTCTACAAAATTTCAGAATAGTAGTCTTACTTGGCTAAAATTCGATCTAGTAGCTCTCCTCCTTCGCATAATCTGAACATAGGAAAACATAACAGAAAACATGATCACCATATACTGAGGCGTGCAAGTCTGAGTTGCATATTGTACACAGAAAGTAACTACCTAAAAATTACCAAGCCACTATGTTATGGAATGGATGATAACCATAGGTCACTGCTACCGTAGTGCGAAATGCAATATTCATCCAGAAAGATACAAGAAAATCTCAAAATTTTATCCAAGTAAATATTATTTCAGAGAGAAGAATTTTTCTAGTGCAAAGTTATCTAGCAGGAGAGACAAGACCAATTAAACTAAGTATTACTTTAAATCTTCAGTTCAAAACGTTTGATGCAAACAATTGGAACCATATAGTAATAAGGAAGTTCTATAATAGATAGAAACACATGATCCTCTATAAGTATTCTCATATCATCGAGCAGAAGAAACAGCTATGCTCCTGCTACATAGAAATTAACCTTCACTTAAGAACAATTCAAATGAATTTTAAATAAAGCATTAGTTTATACTGCATCCATTTTCAGAAACTCACACGTTGCTTTCATAACATATACACCATCATGAATATTATCAATAAAAGTTGTAGAAAAGATTACTTATTAACCAGGAATCTTGAATTAAAATTAATGAATGAACTTGGATTGAAGTACAATAAAGAACATACGTCCAAGATTGATATTAATTTAGACAGAGGGTGTATACTCAAAACTTAAAAATAACTTGTCAGCTACATAAGTTCTGAAAATAACTGCAAGTTCAAGTTCTTGTAGTATAAAGATTGACAGGAGGTTCAATGTCAACTTACTCCATCACAATATACACATAATCATCATCTTCAAATGCATTATGGAAATGAACAATATTCTCATGTCCTTTTAGGGCTTGCAATATTTTCACTTCACGCTTAACATCCTCAACAGCAATGCGACGGACCATCTGCACCAAAATTAATATAATTATAAGACATTATAAATATAATTTGAGTGAAAGATGAGGATCTATCTCCCTACCAGTCCTAAGAAACTATAATTCTGTTCAAAGTCATCATACCAATGTCTCTGGTGATTGATAAACATGCTTTAGACCAGAGACAAGTTTAAATGATTTACTCAAAGTAATGTCTTTGTCATATGTTCCCATTTACTTTATTTAATCCCATGATAGATCACTGATTTATATTTGACAACTCTGTTCCTGGGGTACGAGCATAACTTAAAGAAGATAGCAGACAAAATGCTTGATGGTACCATTTATGCTATAGATTTTATGGCATAAGAACTTTTGCCGTACAAAAGACACCGATAGCAACAAATTTCCTATGACGAAACCTTGTAATTGAACTCCTAAGACTATGGTTAAAAATCACAGGAAGCTAGTTTAATGTAAGAAAGTTTCTAAGTCTCAATTGTTCATAGAAAATCCAATTGTTGAAATCCTAAAACAATTTTGGAAATAAATTAAGAAAATATAAAAATGTTTACTTTACAATTTTCCAAAACAAGAGGTCACTGCACACCTAAGTGATGGCAACTTTCCAAAAAGACGATGTTGCTCTGTTTTTCAATTGTGAAAAGAGCCTGAAGATTTTTATTACCCATTTTCTGTGTGCTAACATGAATGCTCAACTGTGTGAACCTACTACTAGTACCAGAGCACCATAACATGCATTATCGAGTCTCAAAGAATGGATTGTTGGAAACTGGCCAAACTTAGACTAACAAGGTACACTTCACATATGCAGATTGAATGACACTGAGATCTGAGGGATTGTGTATATATGGAAATGCTACCGCATGCACCTTTTAGCCGCGTAAAATTAAATGGTGTCAGGAGATTGTAATACAATTCAGAGATTAACGCTAGTCTTATTTTTTTAACCCTGCATAGGGATATGAACCGAAATGCACCTCTAGTAAAAAATAAATTTTCAATGCACTTGATGTAATAATTCTAGGTTTTATTTGGGGACAAATTTTGAAAATCGACCCATTTATAAAAATAATTGCAAAAATCAACCTCTTTTCAACATATTTGTCAAAATCGACCCAGTTTCAGCCATTTGGCTAAAACTGGCTCGATTTTAACCAAAAAATAACTGAAACTTCACATGACTTCGTGTCCCGTGAAGTTAGCAGCCAGGTAATTAACCTGTGTAAGTTCACGGGACATGAAATCCCGTGAAGTTTCCGTTGAATTTCTAGTTTTTAAACAAATTTTAAACAAAATCGACCAATTTCTCCAGGAAGTTTTAAACAAATTTCACGGGACTTCAAGTCCCGTGAAAGAGTTGGAACCGTTAATCAAATTTCATTAGAGGGTCTTAAACTTCATGGGACTTGAAGTCGCGTAAAGTTTCGTGAGTTTTTTGGTCAAAATCGACACAGTTTCAGCCATATGACTGAAAATGGGTCGATTTTGACAAATATGTTGAAAAGAGGTTGATTTTTGCATTTATTTTTGTAAATGGGTCGATTTTCAAACTTTGTCCTTTATTTGGTTATATACATATAAGGAAAAGTAACAAGACTTTTATGCAAAATTATTAGAGGGTCCTATTAGTAAAAAAAAGACTTATATGAATACCAAAACTCTACCCCAACCCTTGTTGAAAAGAGGTTGATTTTTGCATTTATTTTTGTAAATGGGTCGATTTTCAAACTTTGTCCTTTATTTGGTTATATACATATAAGGAAAAGTAACAAGACTTTTATGCAAAATTATTAGAGGGTCCTATTAGTAAAAAAAAGACTTATATGAATACCAAAACTCTACCC